GTGTGTGTGTGTGTGTGTGTGTGTGTGTGTGTGTGTGTGTGTGTGTATGTGTTTCCCTCACTTCCTTTTTTTGCCCTTGCCCACAAAATCCCTCAGGGAAAGGTCAACAAAGACCCAAATGTCATCAGATCCTCATGAACAAAGGGGGCACGGTGCCCTGGACCCGAGCCACTGAGCCATGAGTGGAGCAGGCAGTTCACAGAACAGCAGGACCTGCCCTCGAAGGCTCACCGTATTAGAAAAGTTCCAGAGCATGCATATTCTCCCAGAAAGTAACTTTGAAGGAGACCACGATCCCACACAGGGCCTGCCTGCAAAGAGTTTCACATCTCACTAAAGAAAATGGGTCAGTGAGAAACCACCCGTTCAAGGACTAGCCCAACAAACTGTTGTCCACGTGCTCTGAACCCATCGGGGAGCCCCACGCGGGACTGCGGCTGTCTGTGTGGAGGGCTCACAGGGTCCCTGAGAGGTATGTAAATTGAGAAGGAAAAAGATGCTCAGGGTAGGGGCAAGGGGTGATGCTCAAAATAAGGCAGAAATGAGAAACAGCATTTACTAATTGCCAAGCACAGAAGAGATCCCTTCTAATTCCCCCCATTTAATCCCCATTAATGATCACAACCAGAGGGTCAGGGCTCCTATCCCAAAATTACAGAAGTGGGGAGAAGTGGGGAGAGCAGGCCCCTTGCCCAACGTCACGCAGCTCACAAGGGGTGGAGTGCAGCCCAGGACCATCAGCCGCATGGTCCCGCGGGTCCACCCCTGCGACAAGCCCCCCCACCACCTCCCTTTAGCATCTGGGTCACATTCTGGGGCCATCAGCTCGATTCCTCAACACAGAGCTTCCCACCAGGCGACCCTGCCGTACCTGCCCTTTCCCACACCTCACAGCCCCCACATCCCATAATCACCACCTTTGTTCCAACTGCTCTTTAAAACCTGGATTAGCTGGGCTTCCGGGGAGGTCACGCTGTGACTCTGGAATGCACTTCTGACTTTCACAGAAACCGGTCTTACTTCAAGCCACACAGGCACATGTCACTAAGTAAACTCGGGCCATCTACCTTGTCCCTGGGGCCGTGGGCAAAACCCAACGTGGAGGGGGTGGGGCAGGAGGAAGAGACCACAGAACAGAAATCCAACAGGCTGGGTGCAGGGCACGCAAAGTCCACGCTGCTGTGCTGTCCCCCAAATGCGCCAGGCGGTGTCAGTCTTCCCGGGCTCGCACTCTTGCCACCCTCCTCCTCCTATCAGAAGGCAAACTCCACCGTGTCCCCTGTCACCAGCATTACGGGGTCAGGAGCCGCAGGGAGTATATGGGCAACACGGAGGCTATCTAGGGAAAGACAGCAGAAGGGAGGGAGGGGAGGAAAGCAAACAGGTGCAATGAAGAAGCAGCAGAAATTAAAATTCACCAAAAACATGTCAGAGCAGTAGTCCAGGAAAGAAGCCTGACAGGGACCTCAAGTGGCCAGAGCTCCGTGGGAACTGGGTGGCGTTCCGGCATTCATGGTGATGTCTCACACACACACACACACACACACACACACACACACACGCATGCACACACACACACACACTGCTGTTTGGTGGGGGCGGGGGGTGTGTGTGAATTATCCCTATCTACCCAGGAACACAAAAGGCCTCTCTGGCCCAGGGGGCCTCACACCTGAGTGTCTCTAACTATCGCCTGGGGGCCTGTTCCAGTACAGATCCCCAAGGTCCACGCACACACGGACGCACGGCAATGCCGGTCAGCAGGCCTGGGCTGGGGTCTGCTCCACAGGTCCCGCGGGGGGTACTGACACAGGGGTGCTGCAGGAGTCACTGGAGAAGCCCTGTTCCGGGAGTGAGCGTGCAGCCTGAGGTGAGTAGTGTGAGCTGGAGACCGTGACCTGCCCTCCCCGACCCCCTCTGGGCCCACCCCTACAGGGCTCCTGACACCCAGGGGCTAGGGCTGTCCTCACCCACCCCTGGGAAGTTGTTCTGAGGTGTATTCTGCAGGCGGCAGTTAGGGTCCACCAGGGCGGCTTGCCCGGGGCCCCCGAACTAGAACAAGCAGAACCTGGAACTTAGAAAAGGAATATATGCACTCTGAATTCTGAAACTGGAGGGTGCTTTAGAGGACAGGAAGGAAACGGAAAAGGAGAAAAGAAAAGGCACAGGGTACTGAGCTCTCGTTACTGGCGCCCCTTGGCCACACCTCTTGCAATGCTGCAGCCGGGCCCCGAGGAGCACCAGCCTCAATGGACCCCCTGGCTGCCACCAGTGCTAACACTGGAGGAGAACTGGATTCGGATGGTGGAGGAGGGGACCACGTGGGGCTTTCCACAGTCTCTTGGCGAGCTGACGGAAAGATGTGACCATGACTGGAACCCAGTGCTCTGTTCACCAGCACCCGGGGCACTCGGCAGGCTCAACACAGC